TACCACCCTGGCCAGTGGTTCAGTGGTTAGAGCATTGGACCATGGACCAAAGAGTCACAGGTTCGATTCTGGTTAAGGGCACGTACTTCGGTTGTGGTTTGTCCCCGGCCCTGGTTGGGGTTGTGCGGGAAGCAGCCATTCGATGTCTCTCTCTCTTTCTCTCTCAGTCCTTCCCACTCTATCTGAAGATAAATGGAAAAATATCCTCAGGTGAGAATTAAAAAAACAAATTCCCTATTTACCTAAATGCTGTCCTGCTATGAAGACCTGGACTTTCATCCCAACGTATCTGGTCGGTTCAAGATCTTTTAAGTGTAGATTTGGGTTATCAAGGACAATTACCACACACACTGCAAACTCTATTCCAAGAACATTCCTTGTAATCTTAAAAGTTAATCCAAGGGAACTAGTGTCCAGGGCTGAGACGGTTGGAGACCCTGCGCGGGTCCCTCCGGGCGTGGCTCAGGGCGGGTGCCGCTTACGGAAGCTCCCTGAGTCCCAAAGCAACACCGGCTTCCACTGAGTTGGGATTTCCCAAAACAATTTGCCAGTGAATGTTTTTCAATGAATATTTTATGATATCAAAGAAATTTGTATCCCTTAGAAAAGTTGGGAAACTCTTTTAATGTAGTTGCGAGGGGACTGTAACAAGGAGAAGCCGCGAAGGCTGCCTCAGACGTGGGGACGTGCGTGTGGCCTCTGTTCTGTCAGCCGCAGGAAATCAACTGCTCTCGCTTTGGGCCCTGTGGGCTGGGCTCCCCGGAGCAGGACGGGCGCAGCAATTACCCACGAAAGTGCTGAGACAGATCAACTGTTAAGCTGTACCCCTGACTGAGTGACCCTTGCACCTGTGACATGGGACACAGGCAACCAGAGGTGCACACGACACGAAGAGGCAGTAAGGCAGGGACATGTCAATAGAGACAACACCAAACAGGAGAAAACTTACATTGTCATTTTTCCTCTTTGTTATTCTTCCGAATGATAAGAAATGGCTTTTGTTCTAGGTTAAAATGGTCAAATATTGTCAATATACCTTTGTTCAACCTAATAGATTCTAATGCAGTTTTTATTAGCACTGTTTCTCAGCAGAGAAGAATCCAGCAGCAGTGTCCGTCCTACGTACCGAGCACTGGCCCAGACACCCAAGCCTGAGGTCTGATTACATTCTAAGCTTTTTCTGCTATATCATATACTTTCATAATCTGTTTACCTTTGTTTGAGCCACAAATGTTTCTTATTTGGGTCACTGATTTTGTTGTTGTTGTAAGTTCTGTAGTTTAAACAAAAAAATATAACTTGCATATTTTCTTTGAAGATAACTAATGTTTCACACATTAGGACTTTGAAAATACATTAATTTATATTCTTACATTTGGAGCAAACCACCATGGTTTCACTGCTATCTCTGAATGCGTTTGTAAAAGCATTTTTTAATTCAGATTTGAATTATCGTATCGAAGTGAACACATTTCTGTAGTGCCAGGTGGGCTGTTTAACTTGAGCCACGCAAGACAAATATTTGTGGGGGGTGCTGAGAGCTATATATCAGATTGCACAAAAGTCAGAAGTTTCCCTTTTTTTTTACATAGTCAAGATACAAAAATTTGTATTTGCAGGAAGATTTAACTGCTTCAAGTCCAAGTACCTTATTTAGATAAAACCGACCAGCCTGGTGCCTCTGTTGGGCAATGCAGCCGCTCAGCCGTCCCGGTGACTAATCCCTGTGGAGAACATTCTTGCGAGCTGAGTCCCTAATCTCTCCGCAGCACAGCCAGTGGCTTGCAGGGCAGTGGTGGGAGGATGGAGGCCAGTCATGGGAGCCCAAGGTCCAGGCTCTCGGGGGCCTCACCGCTGCTGGTCGGCTCCGTGCCGTCCGCGTGGCAAAGGCAGTGAGGCGGTGAGCCGCAGCTCAGGTGCTCAGAGCTGGCAAACGGGATCGACCGACAAGTGTGGACTTGGGAACAAGGCGGATTAAATGACAGCCGCCAGTGAAACTGATATCGGACCAGCAGTTCACATCGAACAAAGGACCTCTTAGTCCTCATCTGCAGAACTTCCAAATCCACTTCAATTGCGGATTTCATCGTGAATCGAGAGAATGACGGGAGATGAATGTAATCGCCTTGTGCCGATTAGGTAGAAATCGTGAAGCAAAGAAGTCATCCGCGCCTTGGTGGAACCCTCTAACCTTTCAAACCGCTCACACGTGGACACCCGAGAGAGGTGTTCTTGGTGAAGTCCTCTCCCCAGTCATCCTAGATATCACTTGTACACATGAACCCGGCTTTAGCCTCACCTGACCAGGGAGGCGGTTTTCGTCCCCACGCCTGGGGCCTGCGTGGGCTTGGCGGTCGGTGCACAGTGCAGGGAGGGCGTGTCCCATCCCATCGGCTCCAGGTGACTGGCCCAGCTGAGCTTGAAGTTTCTCGGAGGAAGGTGGGTACAAATGTTCGCTTCTATCCGAAAGCTCCCAATAAGGCGGCGATGACAGTTCTTTGACAACGTGCTATAACCCAGTCTGCGATTCCCAGCCGGGGCTCTAAGAGCTTGCCAGCCCTTCACACGAATTTCCTCTTGCGTTTCTAGCGGTCGGAAACCATTCCTGTGCTTCTCCATGCTGTCTGTCTCAGCCTCTACCCCTCCAGGTTTGGAGACGCCGAGAAACACCCTCAAGGACCCAAGGCGTCAGGAAGCGCGTCTGTTATTTGGCATCGTTTCGTGGACTCCAGGTCCCCTCGGTTCGGCAGAGGTGGGATTTGGGAATTTCGTGTCCTCCTTCCCCCTTCGAAGGTCTTCAATACCTGTTCAATAGCTGTTCTGTTCGATGCATCGGCTCTCAGCACCAGAATGCTGCTGGGAGGAGGGGTGAAAGGGACCCATCTGAGGTGCCCTCATCCATGCCTGCGATGTCACCCCAAACCTGGTTGCTCCCACATCTTGTTCTCTCAAGATGTGAACATGTATATTCACCTGTTCTCTGGGCCTCTCTGGGCACCCAGCACCGGTCGGATTCGACACGGCCTAAACTCACTGTTTTCCTGATAGGCTGCTCCCTCTGCATTCCAGTGTATTTCCCTTCCTGGCCCACAGGACACGCCCTTTCCCAGGGACCACTCCCACCCATCAGGGTAAGCCCCTCCCTCCTCCTCAGGCTTCGCCGTCAGGTGCCATCCAAGTCCACTTCTGACGCCCTCGCTAAGCTGCGGTCACTCGTTCATTCGAGCGACACTCGGCTGCCGGAGCCAGGCCTGGAGCCAGCGCGGGGCACTGGCAGGACCCAGATGGGCCAAGGGGATACCTGCTTGGGTCTCCTTTCTCCACCTCCCTTCCCACTCCTCTGGGCCCCAGAATGAATTATATAAACTGAAATCCTAGGTCACTTTCCTCCTGAAAACCTTTCAGAGACCACAGAGCTCTGTGTGCGGCCCACAGGCCCCGGCGGGCACAGGGCGTGGCTGCGTTCAGCCAGCCTTCACTGCAGAGCACACCCCCACTTCCACTGTGAACTCTCTCACCCTCAGGCCTCTGCACATGCAATTCCCACTGCTTATCACACCCTTCCCTGCCTCTCACTTCTGCTGCACCCCACTCATCTTTCAAAACCCAATAAAAAGATTTCCTCCTCTGGACTCTGCTCTGCACCCACCCCATGCCTGGGGCTCCTCCCTCATGATCCTTCTTCTCGGTGTGGTTCCCAGAACACCCCTGCATACCTGTGTCATTACATCATGGCGCTTACCAGACTCACAGGTAAATGTCCTGTCTCCTCGAGCAGGCTGGGGCCTCCTGCAGGGCAGGCAGAGGCTCCACGCTGCTCCTGGCCCGGCCACCGCAGACCCTCCGTGCACACAGGAATGGGTAAGTGGGTATTTTGAAACTGTGAAGCATTATAGTCTCACGCTGCGCAACTCAGAATGAAAGAACATTTCTCACCATTTGCAAACTCCTATTTTCTTCTTCTCTGCTCCTAAGAATAGATCCCACTTTTGCACACCCAGCTATTAGTGTAATTATCTCTTTCTTTCCAGCGATGGCTGTCGCCCTGTTACAAAGACTCACATTGTGTAGGTGGCCAGAGAGGTCCAGCCAGCAGCCCGGACCTGTGCACCATCCAGCACAAATTCTCCAGAGCTCTGACTTTCATTGATAAAACAGACCAGGTGGTTTGTCACTGCTCAGAGACATGTAAAACTGCACCACACGGTACAGGACCACAGTGTGACCCTGGCCCTGCAGTGTGGGAGCTGTTTCCTCACAGGTTACAGTCCAACAAAAGCACCTGCGTTTCACACGTCACTGTCAGGTCACAGCGACAGGTGACTCTGTGCCTGTCCAGCAGCCGACCCGCCGAGACAGGAGGAGCTCGGACGTGCCCCTGAGAGAACTTGAACGTTGGAAACTGCCTGATTCCCACCATCCTCAGCACCAAGTACCTGAAGGGAACGAAACGGCTCCCCCACCGTGCGGCGCACCGGCCCTGCCCGCGGCACGGGAGGTGTTCGGGCAGGTCTGCGCTGAGTAATGCACCTGGTGGTATGCGCCTGTGCAGCACAGCGTTCTGCCCACATTAAGATAAACTTCCTCTACCTGCTGACACTTAACAGCAGAGGTCTGTTTACATCAGATCACAGCGGCCGTCAGCTCCGAGCTGGACGCGTTCTGAGGAAATGCTCCGGAGAGAAACCAGGGTTGAGTCGAGGAGGCCTGTGTTTGTAAGAAGAGCAGCATTTTGTTACGCTTGTCAAGCACGATCGCCCCTGATCTCCTGGAAACTACCACCAGGAAAGCAAAGCTCTAACTCCCTAGGACGTGTCTCCGTGCAAAGCATCGCGGAGTCCAGATCCGAGGCGGCTCCCCGCCACGCGCCACGACAGACCGACCACAGGACCGAAGTGTTGCAGCTTTTCACACGCTTTATTGCCAACCGTTTAAAATGGTCAACATGAAAAAAAAAAAAAAAGAACATTTGGTAATAAATACTGCTCTTTGGGCTGTAATAAATAAAAAGTTTATTAACAGGAATGCACTTTTCCAGCCACAAGTTTCTCCAAAAATTAACCAAAAAAATTATATATGGCCATAGTTCACAGTTAAGCAGCCAAAAGCTGCTCCAGTTACAGCTTGTAAAGGACACGGGAGCTTCCTCCCTTCTCCCTCCCCTTCAGGGAGCGTGTTCACAGTTCCAAGTCCTCGGTCCGAAGTGCTCTCAACAGAGAGAAGTTACGAGTCAATGCACCTTTCTGTGAAATTGTCCGGAACACCTTCTCGAACAGGTGCGGCAGGTAAAACCGCACTCTGGCTCCCTCGCACGGTCCAGGTCAAGCACGGCGTCCCCGGGAGTCCAGCTGCCGGGGGGACGGTCTTCGTACCACCACTGCCCGTCCTCAGCGCGCCCGCACAGCGCACAGGCGAGGTCCGGCCCGCTCGGAGCCGCTAGTTGCACCTCTGCAGGAGCATGTTCAGGGCGTACTCCATCCGCTGCTTCAGTTCTGACGAGCAGCCCGACAGCAGCAGCGTCGTCAGTCGGAACGTGGTGGAAATCCTGTCCTCGTTGATGTACGTGAGCAGGTATTCCTCGTTTTGGCTACAGATGATTATTTTCGTGTGGTCGTGGTAGAAATTCACCTTGAAAAAGTAGACAAAGAATCAGATCTCTCTTAAAATTAACAATGAAAAGGCCGAGTCACTGACTGCACCGGGACAGTCGTGTTATAGGGTCCGTGTGCACCGTCCTGCAGCGGACACGTACCTGGAAGGTGCCGTCATTGAAAAGCATCATCAAGGCCTTATCAGATTTCAGCCACTGAAGGAGGTAGAGCCGAGGTCTTCGAATGTCAGTGACACTGGGCAGATCTCCACCCTGGAAGAGACGGGCAGAGACAGAGCTGCAAAGATTCTGCAGTGGCTCTCAAAACCCATAAAAGCAAACGCCTCTCAGAATGAACCCAACACCAGAAATGCCTGGAGATCCTGCCCCGCCTCCCGGAGCCTCTGATTCAGCAGAGGAGGCAGGACAGCTTCCAGGCCGCAGCGGGCCCAGTCGGGACTGCACCCCAGACACCAGCGTGCGGAGCCCCTGCTTACGTCCATGAGGTTCTCCTCCATGTAGTGGGAGAAGTACTTCAGCACCGTCACTTGGCCGACGAACTGCTCCGGGGCGTCGGTCGCCGTGAGGACGGAGCACTGGCCGAGCTCTGCGTAGTAGTGCACAGTCCTGGATGGGGGAGAGCGCACAGTCAGGCACTGCTTCCAGACCGCCCCCTGCAGACTGCAGCGCCGGCCGCGCGGCGACGCACACTCACTTTCTGTCGGGAAGGAGGCTCATGTGCGCCCCGTTGTTGAACAGCACACCCACGGTGTGGTCCGAGAGCTGGTATCCGAAGCCGTACTTGTTCGAGTAATCCACCCACTTGGTGACCCACTGGAAGGACGTGCTCAGCTGCTCCTTGGGAATGCCGTCGGCTTCTGGCATGTTCTCCAGACACCCACGAAGCACCCTGGCCACCGTGTCCGCCACACTCCCCATGGTGCTGTCTTCAAGGCCTGGACAGTCACACGACAGAATGATCAACAAGAACAGGCCTCACAGACGCTGCTTCCCTCCGCCCACTCTGTAAGGACAAGCTCAAAGTGCTCCCCGGCCCCCCCAGCTCCTCTCACTGGGCCCTTCTGTGCCGGCTGAGGTGCTGGGGAAGCACTCGAGACCCTGGGCCGAGCACCGGCAGCGAAGCTCTAAGACCCGAGCCGGGACGAACACTCACACTCACTGCTGCTGCTGCAGCTGCCAAGCGTCCCTCTGACGATCATCCGGATCGCATCTCCCATCTGCTGCCTGCTCTCCGCCGCGGCCGGTCCAGATCCAGCCACTGCAGCGGGAGGGGGCGGGAGCTCCTGGGAAGGAGGACGACCAGGCAGTGAGTCAGACATCTGAAATTCACTGATGCCTGAGAAGCCTAGGTGACTATGGGATTGTGGCAACTGCTGGGAAAGCTAATCAAAAGCAATGGACACAAGCCAGGTAAAAGCTATTGCAGTAACTCAACTGCATGTATTGTTCAACTAAAAGACAAAAATGTTTCCTTTTAAAGAGCTGAAAGAAAATTACGTGGATACAACATGCTTGAACTATGATATGGTAGAGCAAGTGACAGTGAACGGAGAATGAAAACGATACAAAGTGTTGTATCTATTTTGGTCTCTTCCAACATACCTCATCTGTCCTGGGTTTGTTGGGTTGCTGCGTTATGGAAGCCTTTTTCAAATCATGCCTAAGCTTGTAAATTTCATCATCTTCTTTAGACACTCTATCTGTAAATCAAGGAAAAGAATTATGAGCGTTATTCCATCCTAACAAGGTAGGGACAGAGCTAGCATATTTCCTCATTTTGCAGTAATAACAAGCTGTGAGCATCCAAGGCAGAAACAGCATTTGTATCATTGCCTTCGCTGCAATTATGCAAGCAGCACACGTGTCTGACACAGAAAGCTTCCAATCGCATTCTGCAGTGTGAATTCATTGTGCCATAAAAAATTCAACAGTATACAAGCTCACTGGTCAAATCACACTAATGCAAAAGCCTCTTTTAACTAACTTATCAAACTTAAATATAATATTGGATACGGAACAGTGAGAGGTCTTAAAACTTACTGTGTGTGTCAATATATCTTGCTTTGTCTTTTTTGCCACCAAAAAGAGCAGCGGCGGCTTTCTTGAAGAAGTTCTTGGCTGGGCTGGACAGGTGGAAGTCCGGGGCCGTGTGGCAGCAGCTGGAAGACAGTCTGTCTGGGGTGAAGCCCTGTGCAGCACGAGAAAGACTTCAGTGACCTGCTGGTTATGGGACTAACAGCATATAATCCAAAGATCCGAGACACACACCCACCTGCAAAAAAAACTCATGTCGGATGATGTCATCCAAGCTGGGCCGGTCCTCTGGGTTCCTGGACAACATGCTGGCTATCAAGTGCTTGGCCGGGCCCAGCAGGGACGACGGCAGGGAGTACCTGGCTTCCCTTATGCACCTGTACGTTTCCTTCAGGTTTGTCGTTTCGAATGGGGGTCTCCCCAGCAGCATTGTGTACCTGAGTGGAAGGAAACGCCTCTTTAGGTCACAAAGCGACTCTGCCAGTGCTAGAGCCCAAACCCAAATTGGCTCTTGGACACTTACATTACACAGCCTAACGCCCAGATGTCTGACTCGCAGCCATGTCCCTGCTTGTTGAGGACTTCAGGGGAGAGATAATTTGGGGTGCCGCATATTGTTCTGCAAAGACAAGACAGGAAGGGTTCATCAGGAACGGCTGTCTGGTCTGAACTTAGCTTCCTGATAAACCTGGAAAGCGCTGCTTTGAATTTCTATTTGGAGACATTGCACTTCTGGTTTTGGCATCTGAACAACTGCATTTGACCAAGTGGTTTTTAGCAATTTTTTAAATGCATGTACAGTTTCCTCAGCCCACGTGACACGGTGTTTTTTAACCCACGGAGACCAGGCGTTCTACGGATCAGGCATATGTAAGAGATTTCCTCCATAATCAACCACAGACATCTGCTCTGGCCCGGCCTACAGGGAGCGCCTGCCTAGTGTTTCCTCAAGTTGCCATTGTTGTGGTCTATGCACAGTCCACTGAGCTTCTCGGAAACATTAACTGGGAGATAATAAGGGCACATGGGACCTGCACAAAACCCCAGGACGGGTCTTCCTGACTCTTACCTCCTCCTGTGCTCCAAGGGCTCCAACCTGGCTGCCAAACCGAAGTCCCCAACTTTCAGCTCCATGGCCTCATTGATGAAAAAGTTCCCTAGAGGCCAAACGACACAAACCCCAGCCCTTTGAATGGCGGTCTCAGCGGCGCGCACATCGACCCCAGAGGCAGCAGCCAGCTGCTGATGTTACAGCCACGTTCAGAGCAGGGCTACACAGGCTGACCCCGACTGCCAAGGGGCCTGCGCCGAAGGCGCGGGAGAGAAGAGAACACCTCTCCCCCAGTCGGTGTCTGGAGTAAGGACTCACCCAGTTTGAGATCCCGGTGCAAGATTTCCTGTTCGTGAAGGTACTTCAGCCCCGACACAATCTGCCTGAGGTAGTATCGGACTTCTGGCTCCGTCAGCACCTTTCTTGCTTTCAAGATGTGAGCCATGGACTAGGAGGAGGAGAGGAGAGGCTGTCACGCAGGGTGTCAGCGGCAGGACGGGAGGCCGGTCCCCACACAGAACCCCGGTGGCTGGTCCCCACACACAACCCCGGGGCCGGTCCCCACACAGAACCCGGGCGGCCGGTCCGCACAGAACCCGGGCGGCCAGTCCCTGCACACAACCCCGGGCGGCCGGTCCCCGCACAGAACCCCGGGCGGCCGGTCCCCGCACAGAACCCGGGCGGCCGGTCCCCGCACACAACCCGGGCGGCCGGTCCCCGCACAGAACCCCGGGCGGCCGGTCCCTGCACACAACCCCGGGGGCCGGTCCCCGCACAGAACCCCGGGGGCCGGTCACCACACACAACCCCGGCGGCCGGTCCCCGCACACAACCCGGGCGGCCGGTCCCCGCACACAACCCCGGCGGCCGGTCCCCGCACACAACCCGGGCCCAGCCCGCACACGCACCCGCCGGCTGCAGTACTCCAGCAGGATGTAGATGTTCTCTTTGTCCTCGAAGTGGTGGTAGAACTGGACGACGTGCTTGTGGTGCAGAAGCCTGTGCAGCTCGATCTCCTTGTCGATCTGCGGGGAAGGCAGCGGCTCAGCACCGGCCCGGCCGCCGCTGCGCCCGGAGCCCCGCGCCGGCCCACCCCCCACGCACCTTCTCCCTCTGGTGAGGCTTAGCGACCCTGCTGTGCGGGATGATTTTCGCGGCGTAGACCTTGTTGTTCGTCAGGTCTGTCATCTCGTAACACTTGGCAAAGCCGCCCTGCGAGGAAACAAAGCCGAGACGGGCTGAGCGCCGGAGCCCGGGCGGCAGGAACGATCTTCAACCCGAACAGAACTAAGAAGGCAGAGCCGGGCGGGGGAGGGGCCGGCGCCCGAAGCCCTTCCCGACGGACGCGCCCCGCCCGGCCGGAGGGGCGGCCGGGCCCGGGCAGCGCCGCCTCACCTTGCCCAGCACCCGGCCGCGGCAGTAGCGCCGCCCCGTCGTGGGGTCCACGACGACCCGCGACACCTCGGCGCCCGCGTGGTGGCGGGGCTGCGGCGGGGCGGCCGGCGGCTCCTGCGCGCGGGGCGGCGGCTCCTCGGCGGGCGGCGGCCGCCGGCGCCTCGGGTCCCCGCCGCCGGCCTTGCCCGGCTGCTCGCTGGCCTTGGCGCCCGCGGCCGGCGGGTGGGCGATGGTGCGCAGCAGCTCCATGCTCCGCGTCCACTTGTGCGAGTGCGGGCGCCGGGCGGCCTCTTATCCGCGCCGCGGGGGGCGGGGCCTCGCCCGACACGTCACCACGGCGCCCCGCCCCCCGCCGCGCGGGCTGGATCCGCCGGGGCGGGGACGCGGAGGGCTCGCAACCCCGGGGTTGAAGCCAGACCCCGGGCCTGCGCCGTCCCCGTCCCCGTCCCCGTCCCCGCGCCCGCGGTCCCTCCCGCAGCCTGACAGCCCTGCGGTGACGCCCCGGGACCCGCAGCCCGCGTGGCCTCCGCCCGGCCCCCAAAGCCGGGGCCGCGCCCTCTGTGCGGGGCACGCGCGCCCCCTCGCGGGCCTTGGCGGACGCGCAGCGAGCGCGCGGCGGGTCCCTGGGGCCGGCCCGACGGGGACGGTGCGGGTGCCGGCGCCCCGCGCGGCCTGGCGGGCACCGCCTCTCGTCCCTCCGAGGGGCGCGCACGACGGGGTGCTGGGTCGTCACCCCGGGCTCCAGGTTCCCCCCGACGTCCCGGTCCCGCGCTGGCCTGGGAACGAGCTTCCTGCGCCCGGACAGGTGACACCGGGCCCTCGGCGCCAGGCGCCCCGCAGGGTGTGAACGCCCGCCCGGAGCCCGAGGGGCGGTGCTGACGGTCCGTTTGCAGCCGCTCGTCTCCCTGCACGTTGCGGCAGCTCCCGGCGAGGCCGCCCCGCAGACACGGGGCTCTTCGTGGACGTGGGCAAACGCGGCTGCCGGGCCCTGGCAGCGCCCAGCGCCCCGGGGCCACCCCGGCAACGACCCCTGGAGGTGCTCGGGCGGAGGGATGCGCAGCCCAGGGTCCGGGTCAGGGTCCAGGAGGGACGAGACGTTTCCACACGCCTGTGTCCGCCCAGCGCCGGGCAGAGCGAGGCCGCCGGGACCCTGCGCGAGCGGCCCAGCGAGTCCGGGCACGTTCTCGAGAGGCGACTCCCCACCTGGCTGTCGGGGCGGGGCCGGGGCGGGGGCGGGGCCAGGCAAGCGCTTGACCTTGCCCCTCAGGCCTCCACTTGGGGAGACCTTTGCTCCCCAGCCTGCCTGTCCTGGGATCGCCAGTTTAGGAAATACTACCCTCATTTCCAGACCCGGCTTTACAGTGTCTGTTTGATTGCTTGGTAATGAATTTTGCATCTCTAATCGATTATGGTCTAAGACAGAAAGAGGACTGTGATTGTCATCTTTTTCGTTACTTCAATTATTTGATTATCACACACTCTTGTATATATTTTTACCAAATGTACTGAAGAATTTGATAGACAGCTGAACAGTTCATATGAAATTCAGGTCTACCCTCCAAAACATTTGGGCATTTATTCAAATATTAACACTGTATGTGTGTTATGGGGTCTTCTGGGCAACTGTGGAAGTTTGACTTTTTTGGGTGGTGGTGCCATCATGTGCACAGAACTAAAATTGCAGTCCCTAGAACAAAAGGAAATGTACTTTCCAAAGGAGACAAATTTTTAATTACAAAATATTTCTCTTTAGTTCTATAGATTTAATGCAAATGCAATTAAAATTCCAATAGGGTTTTTCAGTGAAACTTGATAAACTGATATGTAAATTTTATTTTTTTTATTTATTTATCCTCACCCGAGGACATTTTTCCATTTTTTGTTCAGACAGGGTGGGAGGGAGAGAGAGGAACAGAGAGAGAGAGAGAAACATCAACATGAAAGGGACACATCGAGTGGCTGCCACTCGCACAACCCAACCAGGGCCGGGGACAAACTGCAACCGAGGTACGTGCCCTTAGCGGGAACCGAACCCGGGTCTCTCTGGACCGCAGGCCAATGCTCTATAACCGCTGAGCCGAACTGGCCAGGGCTATTTATTTATTTTTTTTACATTTTTTCTTTATTGATTGTAGAGAGAGAGACATAGAAACATCGATGAGAGAGAACATCAGTTGGCCGCCCCTGCATGCCCCCATGGAGATCTGGCCCACAACCTGGGCATGTGCCCTGACCTGGAATCGAGCTGGTGACTTCTTGGTGTAGGGTCGATGCTCAAACACTGAGCCACACTGACTGGGCTGTAAACTTTATTTTTTTATTTGATGTTTAATCCTCACCTAAGGATATTTTTCCATTGATTTTTTTTTTTTTTTAATTTCTCACCTGAGGATATTTTTCCATTTATCTTCAGATAGAGTGGGAGGGAGAGAAAGGGAGAGAGAGAAAAACATCGACATGAGAGGGACACTGGTTGCCTCCTGCACAACCCCAACCAGGGCCAGGGATGAACCGCAACCCAGGTATGTGTCCATAGCCGTAATGGAACCCCAAATTTATTGATCCGAGGGCTGACACTCTACAACTGAGCCAAATTGGCCAGAGCTTTTCACTGATCTTTAAACAGAGTGGGAGGGGCGGGAGAGAGACAGCTATGTGAGAGAGGCACATGGATTGGCTGCCTCCCACATGGCCCTGCAACTGAATTATGTGCCCTTGACCAGGAATCGAACCCCCGACTTTTCAGTCCGAGGCCCAGTGCTCTAACCACTGAGCCAAACCGGCCAGGGCTGATATGTAAACTTTATATGAAAGTGTAAATGATAAAAAATAGCAAGGTCACCTTAAAGGAGAATTAAAGGGGGGGGGGCGGCTTTCTTTACCAGCTGTCAGGATTTCTAATGAAGCTATAGCTGTTAGGAGAGTGTGATCCCCTCCCAGGGACAGACCGACCAGTAAAGTGGAATGGAGAGCCTAGAAACAGACAGACCGACCAGTGAAGTAGCATGGAGAGCCTAGAAACAGACAGACCGACCACTGAAGTGGAATGGAGAGCCTGGAAACAGACAGACCGACCAGTGAAGTAGCATGGAGAGCCTGGAAACAGACAGACCGACCACTGAAGTGGAATGGAGAGCCTGGAAACAGACAGACCGACCAGTGAAGTAGCATGGAGAGCCTGGAAACAGACAGACCGACCACTGAAGTGGAATGGAGAGCCTGGAAACAGACAGACCGACCAGTGAAGTAGCATGGAGAGCCTGGAAACAGGCAGACCGACCAGTGAAGTGGAATGGAGAGCCTGGAAACAGACAGACCGACCAGTGAAGTAGCATGGAGAGCCTGGAAACAGGCAGACCGACCAGTGAAGTGGAATGGAGAGCCTGGAAACAGACAGACCGACCAGTGAAGTAGCATGGAGAGCCTGGAAACAGACAGACCGACCAGTGAAGTAGCATGGAGAGCCTGGAAACAGGCAGACCGACCAGTGAAGTGGAATGGAGAGCCTAGAAACAGGCAGACCGACCAGTGAAGTAGCATGGAGAGCCTGGAAACAGGCCCCCACACACTTGGAGTGTTGAACAATGTGGAGGTGAGGAGGGTCAGCGGGACTGGAAGGAACTGGGTTCCATATAAAAAGTGCAACCTGTGCCTCGCGCTGCAGTACACTCCAGGCTCCCGTCACCAAACACACACACCGGCGCCTCACACACGGAAACAGTCCTCGCTGTTCAGCTCCTGAAGTCCACAGGCCGAGTGCAGGCAGGCTGGTGTCCCCAAGATGCCCCCTCGGCTGGCAGGGGCCACCTTCCCGCGTGTCCTCACACGGCACCGCTCTGTGCTGGAGTGAGGCTGTGTCCCTGTGTCTGTCCACCTTCCTGGTGCAGGGACAGTGGGCACATTGGACCAGGACCACCCACGGGGCCGCGTTTCATCTCAGTTTCCTCCTCAGAGGCCTTGTATCCAAATGCAGTCACTTTCTGGGGTCTCAGGAGTTAGGGCTGCAGTACATGAATTGCGGGGGACACTGTTCAGCCCGTAACATGCACACCAGGTGCAAAAATCCTCCAGACAAAGGAAGGACTTAAAGGTTAAGAACAACACATATTAGTAGGAAATGTAGAAAACAACTTTTTGAGCATAGGGTAGGGAAAGACTTTTTAAATTGAGATATAATGGACATGTGACATTGTATTAGTTTTAGGTATACAGCGATTTGATATTTACATAGATTGGGAAATGAGTAAACAGTAAATTTACACCACCATGCATAGTGATCAATTTATTCTCTTCTGATGAGAACTTTTAAGATCTACTCTCTTAGAAACTTTCAAAACATGCAGAACGGAATTGATCATTGCAGACACCATGCTGTGCATACATCCCAGGACTGGTTAACCTTATAACAGGAGGTTTGTCCACCTCCATCCACCCCCCACCCCCAGGCACCCATGTGTTCTCTGAATTCGACATAAAAGCAGAGACATGCAGGATCTATTTGTCTCTCTCTGTCTGACTCATTTCAATCAGCGTGGTGCCCTCCGGGTTCATCCATCTCAAATGGCAGGATTTCCTTCTTTTCATGGCTGAATAATGTTCCAGGTATATATGTACCATACCTTCTGTATCTGTCCATCCTTTGGCTGTCATGGAAGTGCAGATATGTTTGAGATTATGATTTTGTTTCCTTTGGCATTATACCCAGGAGAGGAATGGCTGGCTCATAAGGCACTTCTACTTTTAATTTGTGGGGGAACTTTATACTGTTTTGCACAGTGGTGGCACCAATGTACATTTCCACCAACAGTGCACAGGGTTTTTCTTTACTCCGAATCCTGGTCAACGCTGGTGGTGTCTTGTCTTTCTGATGATAGTTGTTCTGGTGATTATGAGGTGATATTGTGTGGTTTTAATTTGCATTTCCCTGATGACGAGTGGTGTTGAGAATCTATTCATGTACCTGTTTCCATCTGTATATCTTCTTGGGAAAATGTCTATTCAAGTCCTCTGCCCATTTTAAATCAAATTGTTTTCTTTTTGATACTGAGTTGTATGAGTTCTCCATATATTTTGGATATAACTATCAGAGACATTATTTATAAATATGTCCTCCCATTCTGCAGGTTGTTGCCATCACTGTGCGGAAACCTTTTCAGTTTGATTTGATCCCACTTGTTTATCTTCGCTTTGGTTGCCAAGAGCGACATCAAGAGCTCACCCTCATGTTTTCTTCTGTTACTTTTATGGTT